TTTACCATGGAGTGTTCAAAATCAAATTTCGAGCGAATATGAAAATTTTTACCTTTTTTGGCAGTCAGAGGTGGTTTTGGCACGGCAATGGGCAGCGATCGGCTCCTTTCTCTAGTGACTAGTTTTTCTTTTCCGGCGGGGGGCTGACAGCTAAGGTTTGGTTTCGATGTGAAGTGAGATATTTATATCAATCTCTCTTAAATATAGGTCGGTCATCGCGTTTGATCTCGACCGTCTAATCGCGTTTAAAGAAAAAAATGAATCTAGACTATTAATCGCGATTTGATTTGGACCGTATGATCGCGTTTAAAGAGAAAACGAATATGTGCTATTTATCCCGTTTAATCGCAACCGTCTGATTATGCCTCATGAGGAAAAGGATATGGACTGTCCACGAGCGTTGGAACACATCTGGGCTGTCCGATCGTGGGCACACGGATTGACAGCGTGGCACCGAGTCAGTGTGCATTGCCACACGACGCGCTCTAGTTCGTTGGGGCTATTAATTGGACGGTCCTACATGACACAATTTTTTTAATTACGTTTTGACTCCCAGTTTTCGAATTTTCTTTCAAAAATATCTACTAAACCAAAATTTTCACCTATTTTTTTCAAAAAAAATTTCAATTTTATCATCTCCCTATTTTTTTCTTAATTTTACATTAAATAAAATTTATAAATTTAAAAATTATATTTTTATATATTTATTATTATTTTTTATTTTTAAATTAATTCCGGACCAAATTTCGAGTTTAGGTATTACACAAACAAAAGAAAAAAAAAAGGAAAATTTAGAAAAAGAGATGGGATGGCCCAACCTGATGTAATTGAAAAGTCCAAACAGCATTCCCATGCCTCCTAGAGTTTAAAGTGGGCCTCAAACCGATTTATTCCAAACTTGAAGCCCATATCATCTAAGCCTCTATCATTCTCTCTCAAATTTTATTCCAATCAAAGGGTTGTTAGAAGGGGTGCATAGTCAACCTAATACCATGACTATACAAGTTCGACAGTGAAGTAAAAATTTACAAGGAGGGTACTTTATTACTTTAGAGATGTTAATTTACAAAATAAATAAATGAACTTATAAGAATCTTTTAGGACGAATTAAGAGGAAGAGAAAATGAATAAACTAGTTAGAAACTTAATGAGATTGAACTTTGAAAAAAAAAAGGTTTGGAGCGATAAATTTTTATGTTTCATTTTTTGATTCGAAATCAAATTAACTAAATAAGTTTAGTTTGTTTGGTTTCGGATCGAATTTACTTTAAATTCAATTTATAATTTTTATAATAAAATTTAATGTCATAATACCAAAACCTCCTTTTATTATTGGAAAGTATTTAAATTTTTGTTAAATTATTATTATTTTTTTATATTTTTAAAACTCATAACTATTATTGTTGGTACCTAATTAATTTCATACCAACGTGACCAAATATTTTAGTCTTTAATTAAAAAAATTATATATAAAAGCTACATCAATATGATGTTAGTCGCGTCATTATTTTTTTAAAAATTATCACGCGCACTCAATACCCCTTTTTTATTAATTTTTTTTAGCCTTATTAATACATGTCTTGTACAAAATACTTGTCATATTTCTTTCTCAGTCATTTTACAGTGTAAATTTTCAAGTTTAATGGTCCCATATAAATTTATGCAGTTCAAAAGTGTAATAAAAATAATTGGAGGTATCAACTATCAACATAATATTGTTAGCATACAAATGTATTATTTGCACTTATTTACACTGTATACATAATATATATATATATTTAAATACAAAAAGAACAACAAAATAAATTAGTACATTTATATAATGTCATAAATACATACCAATATATATGTGTGTAATGAACTTTAAATCCAGCCGACTCATCATACACAGTTGCATTACTTGCTTATTCATGTGAACAATTTTTTCACTACTTAAGCATCTCTTTCTCTATATATATATATACATATAAATGACTTAGTTCATAAATAATTTCACCTTCACACTCAATATCATCTCTTTATTTTTCTTAATTTAAAAAATATAAAATTATATGACAAGTAATTATATAGTTACAATTGAAGATGTGCATTATCAGTATAATAAAGAAGAAATGATCATAGAACAACAATTATTGAAGCTTATAAATCAAATATAGAAGGAGGCAACAGTAAAAAGAGGATGACAACATCAATTAAGGCAAAAAGAAAATAATGCTAAGAAGATTGTCGTAAGAAGGAAAATAATATTTTGGTTTTATAACAGGAAGAAGATGATGAGAGAATATTAAGTGCTTATGGTGATTCTAAAAATGATCGTTGAACTAGCACCAAGTACACCATTCATATATACTTTATTAGATTGAAAATTATAGTTTATGAATATATCATCGTAAATCAACTAGAATACGAATGAATTTTTGAGTTTTAACATAGATAATTTTTTTTTATTCATTTAAAAATTATAAAAAAGGAAAAGTTGGAAGAAAAATTTGTTCAATAGTGGAACAGGAATTTTAGTATTTTGCCTAAAATTTAGTCAAAATTTTCTTTTAAAGATTTTAAAATTTGGATGGTCAATAAATGTTACTTCATGCGCAAAAAAGCATTCATTTTGTCACAGAAGAAACTTAACGCGCATAAGAAAAGTCGGCTTTCTTGAAAGATTAACACGCAGATAAATTAGTCCAACTATGGAGCCAAATGTCTGAACCTGATCGCATGGTTCGTATTTGAAGCCAAAATTGTAGTTCGACATATAAATTGTCATCACCTCTTCCCTCTTCCCGCTTTGTCCGTGTTTCTGCGACTCATCACCTTTGTTTGATTCTAAACCTCATTTCTAAACTTGAGAAGAACTTCCTCTATGAATCGGTCATAGGTGGTGCTCCCCACTACCGAGTTGAACCATTATAGTTCCACTGGCCCGATTCAGGGCCTTTTCTTCCTTCCTTTTGATTGAAATATCTAGGGTTTCGTTTTTTCAAATTGAGCGCTGATTGCTGAGATCAGATGGCGAGGGTTTACGACAACTGGGAGAGGCTGGTGCGAGCCACCTTGAAGAGAGAACAGATACGAAATGCTGGTCAAGGGCACGAGCGCGTGTCGAGCGGCCTTGCCGGTGCGGTCCCGCCCTCACTTGGTCGGGCCAATATCAACGCCATCCTTCAGGCTGCTGATGAGATTCAAGACGAAAATCCAAATGTTGCACGGATATGTAAGTTTTCTACTTTTTATAAGTTATTTCTTTTACAAATCAGCTCTTTATTCATGCATCTCTAATAGTTTTTATAATTTGAAAATAATTATTTAAGGTAGAAATTGAGCATGCCGGTATTGATAGTTATTTCTCCAATCCATTTTAGTATGTGAGCAGGCGTATAGCATGGCACAAGATTTGGATCCAAATAGTGATGGCAGAGGAGTCCTTCAGTTCAAGACTGGTTTGATGTCTGTAATTAAGGTATTACTTCACTTTTAGTATTGGCTGGTTATCGAATTTTCGATCACAAAGAATATTGAGTGGTTATTGATTAAAGTGTGGCATTGTCATTCTCCTTGCTGCTATCACAGTTGGTGATATTTCAGTTGACGTATCAAATTTTCAATCTCAATGATATACCAGAGTGATGCCTCATGATATTGATACAATACTGACACTTATACTCTGATGATAGATTGGAAATATTGTCATGTTATTGGTATTGTATCCTTAAAATGAGTTTGGTGGTGACAACATATCATATAGTTCCAGGAACATTGTTTAGTCTCAAAATTGTGTTATTTTCTTCTGGATGGTTTTGGTGTTTCGATCTCTCACTAAACTTGCACTTCATATATTTCATCTGCCATTAGTTACCTGTCTTATTCTTGTAAAAGCTTAAAGTGTTCTAACATCTTCTAATAATTGTCATTGGCATTTGAAATTAGTGATAGTTTATCAATTTTTCTTATTTAGTTAGCAACTTGCGCAATTGGTAGCTTATTTAATTTTTCGTTATGCATCTTATCTTTAGAGCATTTCAATAAGAATATGCAGATTTTATCAACCAAATTATCTTTTTCTTTATTTATTTAAAATAATGTTGTTATAGTGATCATTTCTTGGTCTCTCTATCTCTCTATATATATATGTACAATTTTTGTGTACATGTTGTATATTACATTAAAAGGTTAATTTCTTTTCAAGAGGATGCCACTGATGTACCAAAAATCAAAGCTATTGAAGTGTTTTTTTCTGGTGTTGATTATTTGCTGCAGCAAAAACTTGCTAAAAGAGATGGGGCCCCGATAGATCGCAATCGTGATATTGAACGTCTTTGGGACTTCTATCTAGCTTATAAAAAACGCCATAAAGTGGATGATATCCAACAATACGAGCAGAGATTAAGGGAATCTGGAGCCTTTTCTGCAAATATTGAACAGTATGTGCAGTGATGCTAACATCAGAGTTTTACTTGATATACACTTGTTTTTAAAGAACTCGTTATCTGCTTATTTATTTGTGACCCAACTTTCTTTCCGCTTTATTTGATGGCAAATTAGAGGCAATATTATTGGTTGCTGAGATGTTGTCTTTCTCCCTTGAAACTTCTTGATATGCACTGTTTGAAGCTCTGGGTGGGTCTTAATGACTTATTTTGTATAAAGGGCTTTAGGACCATGACATGTAACTCAACTTTTGCAGCTTAAAATCATAAGGAATTTGGGTAGATATTTTGGAATTATAAATGATGATGTATTGGGACCGTATTGGAACACTTTCATATAGGGAAAGAGAAATATAACATCTAAAGACTAGTTTTGAGAGAAGAAAAGACATATTGATGAAGCACCAAGATGATACAGTCAAAATACAAAAAGTTACAATATCAATCCCATCTCTAATGGGTTTGCCTTTGAGCAAAATATTAAAATTCCTCAACCATTCTGATGGTGCATAGCAGCAACTATGTTATTTATGAAGTTACTTTTACTTTTTGAAATGAAAGTGTAAATTGTGATATTAATATGAGCACCAATGGGGTGCCAACCCATGTATGAAAATATTTACAAGTCAATCAATTTGTTAACTAGGTTCCTTAAATCCTCCATCGGGTATGGAGAATGACCTAATAACAAAAAATCAAGGGTGTGGAACCATCTGTTCTTAAGTATGTTAAAATTCATTCACATCATTCAGCCCTTCAAAACCCTTTTGTTACTTTCCTTCCACACCACCTACATTATTGTAAGAGGTATTAAATCCACTTGCTTTCTCCTACCCCTGATGCCTCCTCACGCCTAAATCTCATCTCTCACTGATCCTGCCATCACCCAACTAATGCCTAACAGCTCGTAAGCCATTGCCTAAAGTTGATACACCACTGGATACGAAAACAAAACATGGTTACAATTCTCCTATGCCCTCTTACAAAAATAGCAAGCATTGTCAATTTTCTTTATGTTATGAATAGTTAAGATACATTCTTTGTTTGCCTCTCGCGCAAAAAATGGTACATGAGGAGACACTTTTACCTTCCAAAAGTGCCTATCTTGGAATCTCATACCATGTCCGTCATGTTTGAATAGTTGTTTAAGTATTTTAAATCCATTCACATCATCCACCCGTTCAAAAACTGTTTTATTTCTTTCCTTCCACACTACCCACATTATTGTAACCGGTATTAAGTCTGCTTGCTTTTTCCTATCCTTGATGATGCGAGCAAAGGGAGGACAACTCACACTAAGATCCCATGACAAAGATGATTACGAGAAAATGGTTAAAAAAGTTCTCCCAATCATGAACTCTCAATTATTTCACATGAGGGACTTGTCTACTCTTGTTGGGAGAGTCATAACTGGACACTGATCTCCTTTATGGCACATTAATCATATGAATAATACGAGTTCTTAAGATTTTGGACACTTAATTATTCATTCTTCCACAATCAAACACAACTCTTCTCATGAATGGTTTTCAACTACAATTAAATCTTATAAGGATTCAAGAATCCTTATTCTATCAAGTATGGTTTCAAGAGTCCTACATCATCAAAACTAAGAGTCTCCATCAATTCAGAGTCCTTATCAAGATAAGAGAGGAAGAATCCTATTATTACTAGTTTTGGTCGGATTCTACTTTTTTTTATTTCATGGTAGACAATCTTGGATTCTTCCTATATTTTCTCTTAGATTTTCTCCTAAAATTTTCTCCTTGATTTTCTCATGTTTCTACCTCAATTTGGAAGCTTTTAAAGCATATTCAATTCAACTTTTACCACAGAAATTAATTAAATATTGAAGACCAAATCTAAGTCAAATAAAACATGGAGAATTCGGCTGCAACACTACCTTTCTTTAAGAGAGAAGACTTCTCTTTTCATTATGTTTTTTCTTCTTTAAGTTAATATTTTTATTATATTCCTAGATAAGAATGTAATTAAAATTTTTGTAGAATTTAGCCTTTGAGTTCTAGTACAATTATCAAGGCTTATACCTATATAAAGGCCTTACTCCTTTGGTTGTAAAGACATTAAAATTTGAAATAAATAAAATTAAACTTTTAGTTTTGGTTAGCGTTGACTAAGTTGATTCTTAAGGAGGTTTCTTCAATCTTCTTGTTGAATGGAGAATTGATATCTACTTATTAGGTAATTTGTGGTATTTTCATTAATTTCTTTTTTTGAATTAATTTGAACTTATCAAGATATTTATTGTGGCTTTCTAATCAATTCATTTATCCTAATTACCTTAATTCTTAATCACAAGTTATTTGTGGGTTAAGTAGGGAGAGTTTATTTAGAGATTTAAGTTTTTACATACTAATGTTGTATGTGGGATTTTGGATTGCATGTGTTGGTCCTGGGTTCCACATCACTTAATGCCCTCCATGCCCAAATCTCGTCTCTCACCAATCCTGCCATCACCCAAATGATGCCTAACAATAGCCAAAAGCTGATTCACCACCGAACATTAAAGCAAAACATGGTTACAATCTTAACCAATCAAGAATCAAAATCTTAACTAATTAGGAATGTAATCAAATAATATTAAATTACTAACCTACATAGGAATGCAGTCTAAAATAAATATTAATACTGAAAATAATAATAGTAATCTTGATCTTTAGTGGGTTTTTTTTGTCACTATTGAGTGTTTTGAGTTTTCTATTATAAGACTCTAGGAGGAGTCTTATTCTTCGTCTATGTAATCATACCTTCCCTTCTTTAAAAATTTCAGCATTAGATGTGATGATAAGGGCAAAATATGAGAGAGATGTCAGCTTCTCTATTCATGTTTTGCCAATATTTTCGGTATAGTTCCTTTGTTGTGAAAATTTTATGTTTGTTCTGTTATAGGATCTTAGAGATGAGGAAGGTATTCACTACTTTGAGGGCCTTAGTTGAGGTCATGGAGGCCCTTAGTAAAGATGCAGATCCTGATCGAGTTGGAAGGCTTATTAAAGAGGAGGTATTAGTCTTGTCTCTATTATTGCATAAAGACTTTTAATGGAGCAACTTTGGTGCTTCTACATATATTTAGATATCCTGTATTACCAGTTTCGTAGTTTGATTTTTTAGAAATTGCGCTATTCAAATTGAGGCACTCTAAAGCTGTTTCTCCTAAAAAAAAATG